CCCGTTAACAAGGGATTCCATGTCAACAAGCACCTGAATCCGCTCAGGTAACCGTTAACAAGGAATTGACCTGGAATTTCATTGTAACGAGGCCCTGACCCCGTCCGGGCACCCGTTAACAGGGAATTCCGTGTAATTTCCCTGTTGGCGGATGCCTGAGTCAGCTCAAGCACTCGCCCTTCCATGTTAAAGGCTCCGTTAACAAGGAAGAGGGCATTCGATCCCTGGGGGACAGGATGCGACCCCCCTCGAACTCCCCCTAATTTCATTCCTTCCGGCTAACGGATCGCGCGCGCGTTCCGTCATCCCCTCAGATACCACTAGAACCACGCGCGCGCTTCGCGCGCGCTTAGGTTCTAGCTAGGAGGCGAGCTTGAGTCAACGAAAGTCGCAGGGAAGGGGGCAGGGGGAAGAAGGCCAGAGAGCGCTGAAGGATACAAATACTGGAACCCTCTTGTGATTTTGTGGGGGGCCTCGTCCGGCCGCTCGCTCGGAGTTTGACGTAGCTTCTCGGGAGCCTCTGAACCTGTCGGGGGCCTCCTGGAAGCAGGTTCGAAGCATTTGGGGGGCCGATTTGGGGCTTCTCGGGGCCTCCTTTGGGCCTCTTGGGGGTCTCCTGGGGCCTCTTGAGGGGCCTCCTTGGGGCCTCCTGGCGGCCTCTTGGGGCGGAAGGCTCGAGCTTGCGGTTCGTGGTCCCCCTCTGGGCCCCCTCTTGGGCCCGTCTTGGGGCCCTCTTGGGCCATCTTGGGCGCCTCTTGGGCCGTCTTGGGGCCCTCTTGGGCTGTCCTGGGGCCCTCTTGGAAGCTTCTTGGGCCGTCTTGGGGCGGTCTTGGAGGCCTCTTGGGCCGTCTTGGACGCGGTGAAAGCCCAAGATGCGAACATGCGAAAAATCTACGTTTTCCCATCGGAATGGCACGATTTTTGTTTCTTGGACCTCTCTTGGGGTGCCTCTCGGAACGTCTTGGGCTGATTTTGGAAGCCTTTTGGCGCCTCTGGGCGGCGTTTTGGCGCCTCCTGGGATATGTTGGGCCGGAAGCTCGGAATTCGAGAGTGGCTTTCTCCTTCTGGGACCCCTCTCGAAGTCGTCTTGGGGTTCTCTTGGGCCGTCTTGGGGCCGTCCTGAGCCACTCGTGCGCAACCTTGGAGCGCTCCCGGAGGCCTCCTAGGCCGTCTTGGAGGCCTCTTGGGCCGCATGCGAAAAATATACGTTTTCCCATAGGAATGACACGATGTTTGCTTCTTGGGCCTCTCTTGGGCTGCCTCTCGGAGCGTCTTGGAGGCTTCTGGGACCTTCTTGGTGTCATGACAGGCGTCTTGGAAGGCATCTGGAGCCATCGGAGCGCGTTCCGAAGCCGCCTGCGAACGATCTTGGACGGCGTCCGGCGGTCCGACGAGCCTCCGGGCCCCCCGGGGCCCACATTTGTGGTCGAGGTCCCGGCCCCGGGGCCCCCGGACCCGGTGCGCCGTTATATGTATATGCCCCCTGTTCTGATTTCAATGCGTCTCCTCGCCCCTCCTGGGCCGCGAACGCGCCTCCGGCTATCATGTCATCCGCCTTATTCTCCTCCTACTCCTCCTCCTCCTCCTCCTCCTCCTCCTCTCCTCCTCCTCCTCCTCCTCCTCCTCCTCCTCCCCCTTCCTCCTCCTCTCCTCCTCCTCCTCCTCCTCCTCCTCATCATCCTCCTCCCCCTCCTTCTCCTCCCCCTCCTCCTCCTCCTCCTCCTCCTCCTCCTCCTCCTCCTCCGCCTCCTCCTCCTCCTCCTCCTCCTCCTTCCTCCTCCGCCCCCTCCTCCTCCTCCTCCTCCTCCCTCCTCCTCCTCCTCCTCCTCCTCCTCCTCTCCTCCTCCTCCTCCTCCCCCTCCTCCTCCTCCCCTCCTACTCATTCTTCCTCCCCCTCCTCCTCCTCCTCCTCCCTCCTCCTCCTCCTCCTCCCCCGTTTCCCTCCCGCCCTCCCTCCCTCCCAGCGGGGCCTCCAGCTTCTCAAAGCCGCCCTGCTCCCCCGCGCCCTTCAGGGCGGCCCTCAGGCTCTCCTCGGGGCCGTCAGTTTCAGAGGGGCCGGCCGTCCCGGCATTCCGACAGGCCTACCAGGCAATGCTCGCAGAACCAAGCACTACAATCATGCACGCATGTGCTCAGAACATGAAGCCGGTGCATGAACCCAAGGTGTCCGCAGCCACACATGCTCCTGAATTAACATGTCGTGCAAACCACAAAGGAGTTCGTAGAACATTCTTCGGTGAGGCTATGGGCAAGCCAGGGCAACCAGCATGCTTCGCCACTGCTCAATTCAGCGCCAGCTGCCCGCTGCCCGCGGCCCGCCAGCCAGGGCCGAAGAGCTGCTCGGGGTACGCGAGATGAACAATCTCAACAGCCGCCCACCTGACCGTGGAGTGCGGCTACAGGGTGGCGAAGAGCACCGCGTCGTTCCCGGGCATACAAGAAGTCCAACGATGCGCATGAGGAGGAGGGGGAGGCGGAGGAGGAGGAGGAGGAGGAGGAGGAGGAGGAGGAGGAGGAGGAGGAGGAGGAGGAGGAGGGGGGGGAGGAGGAGGAGGAGGAGGGAGGAGGAGGAGGAGGAGGAGGAGGAGGAGGAGGAGGAGGTCTGTTCAAGCCGCGGCCCCAGGTGCAGCTTCTCGTTCTGGACCCACGTCTGCTGGTCCAGGAGCCCGAGAGCGGCTCTTGAGGCCCAAAACAAAACACACACACACACACACATTCACACACACACACACACACACGCGCGACCGCTCAGGTGGGTCTCCTGCCCCTCCTCCTCCGCAATTGTTTCCTCCACCGTCTCCTCGTCCTCGCGCACGGGAGAGGGGCCAGCGTGGACAACGCTGACATCGGTGAGACATCATGGAATTGGAGAGCCCTCCTCGCTGCCTTTCTTACATCGCCGTCGAGGTCGACCCAAGACGTGGGCCCACCTATGCCCTCCCAACACCTACGATCCATGTCCAAACCCTCCAACCTCGCCCTCTTGGAAGCGTGACCCTCGACGAACGCAATCCCGAAGATGGGAGCGGACCGCAAGATTCAAGAACCACCGTCGAATCGCGAATGCCAGTTGCACTTGAAAGCCTTTTCCTTCCTCACCAAAGATGGCCCCCGACACTGCCAGCAAGCCCCCAAGTCCTCCAGAGCCGCAGAGACTCCCCAGATACCCCCAAGTTGTCCCAAGAAGCCCCCAAAGGCCCAACTATGCTTCCACGAGGCCCCCGAGGGAACGCCCAAGAGATCCCAACAAGCCTCCGAACAGGGCGTCTTGTCCACGACCCATCTGGCCGAAGGCCACTACACGCTACATGCAGTATGGGACGGCGGACGCCGCATTGTCTGCAAGGACTGGTTCCCCTCAGTCGTCCTACCCACACATTCCTCGCACCCATACCTTTCCAAATAACCCTCGCAACCACTCCTGAGGTCATTCCAGCGGCCTGCTCATTCCGCAGGCCTTGGGCCACAGCTGCGCAACGGGCGTCCGCTGGCCGCCGTTCACCCTAACTGAAACACGCCTTCGCACGGGAACCTTCTCGGTGCATCTGGGCGCCGTTCGGGACCACTCCGGAAGCCCTCCCTGAGACTCTTTGAAGCCTCTTGGGGCCCTATTGGGCTCATTTGGCGCGTCCCCCAGGCCCTCTGGAGTCGTCTCGGACCCTTCCGAAACCCATTTCGAGTCATGTTGAGCTGAAAACCTGAGTGAGGATGCCAAACGACTTCAAAACCAGTGAAAATGCTACAATGTTCGCTTCTTCGGGATTCTTTTTGCGCCTCTTGGAGCTCTCGTGGACACTTTTGGGGCACTCTTGGGGCCTCTCTGGCCACGTTGGGAGATCTCCAAGGCTTCTCGAGCCGTCCTGAAGACCTCTCGGTCCCATCTTGGACCGTCTGGCCGCTCATTTGGATCCCTTTTGGGCTGTCTTGGGCGCGCTCCGGGGGTCTCTGGAGGGTCTGCTGAAGCCACAAGACTGACTCATGTAGCTCCATTCTTCCTCTTCGTATCCTTCTTCGGTATCGTCCGCCACTTTCGACGCGTTTGGGTGCCCTCAGGTGCCTTTTGCGGAGCCTCTTGGGGCCATCTTGGGCAGTTTTTGGTGTTTGGAGGAGTCCTCTGGGGCCTCTGGGGCCGTCCTGGACCTCCCTCTCGCTCTCTCGCCCTCCGGGACCATTGTAATTGATTGTATTCCTCCACCAAGGCTTCCAAAGTCTCCACGTGTCCAAAAACGTGGGGTGTCCAAAAACGTGGGGCGGCGGTGTCTGCCCCCTCAGCGGGCGCTCAATTGAATGAGCTTCATGACAGCTCTTCAGAAAGCGGGGATGAGGGTGTCACATATGACGGCCTTGCAAGCGAGGCTCGCGCGCCGTTGTCACTGGAAATATCCCTAGAAGAGATGTCACGTCTGACGGCCTTCCTCTTCTCCCTCCTCTCCTATCATTCGCCGTCCTCTTACTCCTTACCACTACCACCAGACTCGTCATTACCGTTATCATTATCAGCGCCGTTTTTCAGTGTCGTCGTCTTCTCCACCTCCTGACCGTACGACCTCCACCATCGCCCTACTCAACCCCAGCGCGGCATTGCAGCAAGCCAAGGCAGAGCTAATGAGGCCAAGGTGTCACATGCGACCGCCACTTGGGCGCTGTTGCGACAAACAGGGGGCAGGGCAGGAGGCAAGAGGAGAAACGCAGAGGTAGGGCAGGATGAGCGCGGAAAGAACAAACTATTAGGACTAGACGAGGCCGACGCCGAGGACGAGGAGAAACACACCGACACGAAGCGGAAGACTGTGTCGTATGTTAAGGCTGCCCCAAGAAGAATCAGGACACGAGGTGTCACACGTTACGGTTTCCTGTCATGTGCGTTCCTCGACCAATTGCCACCTAGTGCTGGGCTGGCACGGTGGCAGGCTTTGCCAAAAGCAATTGGATAATCTTTGTTGACGGCCCGAAGAGATCCCTGGAGACCGAAAGTAACGGAAATACGCCGACGCGATTTTTTCAAGACGTCGGATATATGGGGGCGCGCACGGGCACACTAGCAGTCAGATGCATTTCTCGCAACCACGCGCAGTGGTGTCAGGCTGCGGCTAGCTGCAGGCGACTCCCCCACGGACAAACCATATTGCTTAGCAATTGCTTCCCAAACTGGCTGCCAATGCACTAATCACCCAGGCGCCGCTGCGGTCAGAACAGGCTGTCAGGCCCACACTGCTTCTTGACTTTGGAGAAGTGAGTCGCGCGGTCACCGAAGGCAGACATCACCTCCACCTCCTCTCTCAGTACGCTGGCGGCGCGCACAAGGGGGTGGGGTGGAGAGTCAAGAATCTATGTTTTTGGACCTTCCGTGCAAACGATGTTTTTCCTGGAGGGCTCCGGCCCATGGTTCCCTTTTAGAGGTCTCCCCTGGCCCCGACTGGAGGTGGGCCGGCGGAATTGCGAACAAGAACGAGGTCGCGCAGGGCCGGCGAATGAAACAAAGTTGAGGATGCTCCGAGCGAACAGCTGGTGTTTGAAATTATGTTTGTTGCGGATGTCTCGAGCGAAACGCTTCTTTCGCAGAATGTGTTGAAGATGTCTCGGGCGAAACGCTTGGTCTGTGTTATATGCTGTTCTTCTCCTGGGGGCCAGAATTCAGAGGATGTCTCAAGTGAACTGCTTGTTTTCACGTGCACTGGTCTTGAAGATGTCTCGAGCGAGAAGCTTGGTTTGACGAGTCAAGGTTGCCGAGGCAGATGTCTAGCATGTGTTCAGGATGTCTCGAGCGAGACGCTTGCTTTCACGTGTCCAGGTTGCCCGGGCGGATGTCTGGCATGAGGAAATGTTCAAGATGTCTCGCAGGAGACGCTTGTTTTCCGGTGTCCAGGTCGCCCAGACGGATGTGTAACATGCGGACACGTTGAGAACGTCTCGGGGGAAGCGCTTGTTATCACGTGCCCAGGTCGCCCAGGCGGATATCTAACATGAAGATGTGTTGAGGATGTTTCGATCGAAACGTTCGCTTTCACGTGTCCAGGTCGCCCAGGCAGATGCCTTGCATGAGGAGGTATTTAGAACGTCTCGCGGGAAACGCGTGTTTTCATGTGCCCAGGTCGCCCAGGCGGACATCTAACATGAAGATGTGTTGAGGAGCTTTCGAACGATACGCTTGTTTTCACGTGCCCAGGTCGCCCAGGCGGATGTCTAGCATGAGGATGTGTTCAGGATGTGTTGAGCGAAGCGCTTGTTTTCACGCGGGCCAGATGTGTTGAGCGAAAGGCTTGTTTTCACGCGGGCCAGATGTCTCGAGCGAAACGCTTGTTTTCAAGCGTGCACGTTCCAGGCGGATGTCTAGCATGAGGAGGTGTTGAGAACGTCTCGAGCGAGGCGGTTGGCTCCACCCGTCCAGGTCGCCCAGGCGGATGTCTAACCTGAGGTTTTGTTGAAGATGTCTCGACCGAGACGCTTGTTTTCACGTGTCCTGGTCGCGCAGGCGGATGTCTAACATGAGAGTGTCTTGAGGATGCCTGGGGCGAAGCGCGAAATCTGGCCTGGGGGACAGGTTGACCTACTAAAAGAGAACCCTGGGCCTACGCCCTTTCCCGGAAAAGAAAACCCTGGGCCGGCGCCCTCTCTGGGGAACGCCAAAAATATGTTTCCTTCGCGTTTGAAAGCCGTTTCTGCGCCTCTGGAAGCCTCCGGGCGCCTCCATGGACCCCCGCGGGGCCTTCCAGAGAACACCCGCGGCCCTTCGGGGAGGGGGCGGGGGCGCGGGGGGCGGCTTTCCCTTGAGATCCGACGTTGCCAACAATTTGCAACACCGCAAAAAATCACGACCTGACCCCCAGACCCCATCATTCTGCGTCATTTTTCAAGCCGGATCGATCTGTGAGGGTCCCGGGGCCCGTACTTGACATTGGGCGAAGACGCCCGGTGTGGAAAAATTGCAACGCCAGGATCTCAGGCTCCGAGGAGGCCAGAGGGGGGGGGCCCTCACAGAGGAGGTCCGAAGGCTGCTGGGCAGAGCCCTCTGCGAGGCCCTCAGAGAGGGGGGGGTGGAGCGCTCTCCTCGCCCCGAACCCCTTCGTGCGCGCCGCCGGGCATGGCGCTCACCATCCCAGTCCCTTGGGTGAACGACAGCCACCTCGCGTAGGCGGCCTGGACTGCCTTTCCCCTCTCGGCGACGTCGCTTCGCAGGAGGAGCTCGCGTAGCCTCTGAATCACCACGTTTGCATTGCAGGAGTCGAGGAAGATCACCAGCTCTGTCCAGGGCACCGACTCGCTGAACGGCAAAAGAACGTTCCCGTAGACCACCGGGATGCAACCCGCCGCCATGGCATCATACATCCTGCGCGTTGTGTGGGTGTCCCCGGGCAGAATTAGACAAAACTGACTTCGTAAATTCGCCGGCCCAACGGGCCAGAGGCGTGCTAATCAATCCTGTAACAGATTCTAACATTTGTTCTGGTTCGCGCGCGCGGGGCGGCCCCTGGGAGTTCCCCGGCGAACGTACCCCAGGCGCAGCCCGGGCGCAGCCCAGCCACCTCTGGGTAAGGGATGTTTGTTTCTTCTGGGCGTCGCCCTTGGGATTCCAAACTGCGCTCCAAGAGCTTTCAACGAAGACTGCGGGACAGCCCAAGAAGGTCGGAGACAGTCTAAGAGCGCTCCAAGACGTCGAAAATGATTTCGCCACAACCAGCGGAAGCCCTTTAAACGCCTCAACAGCGCTTCGAACGGACCCCCAAGAAGGCCTGGAGAGCCAAAAACCTGATCGACCCATGAATCCGGAAAGGAATCGATACATCTCTATACATATATATATATATATATATATATATACTAGAACCATCGCGCGCGCTTCGCGCGCGCTCACGTTCTAGCCCAGGCCGGGGGGGCGCTGGACGATCTTGGACAACGCTATCAAGCACAGGCGCTCGACGGCATCTGAGGAGCTTCTGGGGTGTTCCGCATGCTTCGTCAACTGGCTGTTGGAGGCACCTCTTGGGTGCCTCTTGGGGGGGGCGTCTGAGGGTCCCTTGGGGGCATCGGTTCTGCAATCTGAAGCCGTCATTGGCCGTCTTGGCTGCGTGGAGGCCCGACTTGAGGCCACCTGCGGCCAGATTGAGGCATTCCGGAAGCCTCCCGGGGGCCTCCTGGAAGCAGTTTTGACGCGTCGAGGGTACTCTTGGGCTAGTTTAAAACCTCATGGACGTCTCCTAGAAGCCTTTTGGGCCCTCGGGAAGCTTTTGGGGTCCTCTTGCGGCCTCCTGTGGGCTTTTGGGGGGGAGCGCTCTGTTGTTTGGTCGCGTTTTCCTTCTTGGGCCTCTCTTGGGGCTCTTGGGGCCCTCTCGGGCCGTCTTGGGCGCCTCAAGTACCGTCTTGGGGCCCTCGCGGGCCGTCTTGGGGCCCTCTTGGAGGCCTCTTCCTCTATATTGGAACGGTAATGGAAGCCTCTCGGGCCGTCTTGGAGCATCGGGATGCCAAAAGGCCGAACAAAATTAAAACCCGTCAAAGGCCAATCGTAAAACGATGAGTTGTGCCTCTTGGGGCCACCTTGGGAGATCTCTTGGAACCTCGTCGACCCTCTTGGGAGCTTCTTGGGGGCCTCTTGGATTCGATTGGGGGCCTCTTGGGACTTCCCGAGAACCTCTCAGGGTAGAAAGCTCGGATTCTCAGTTCGTGTTTCCCTTCTTGGGCCTCTCTTGGGGCCGTCTTGGGGCCCTCTCGGGCCTTCTTGGGCGCCTCAGGCACCGCCTTGGGGCCCTCGTGGGCCGCCCAGGGCCCTCTTGGAAGCCTCTTCGGCTATCTTGGAGCTGTCTTGGAGGCCTCTTCCTCCTCCTCGTCCCCCTCCTCCTCCTCCTCCTCCTCCTCCCACTCCAGCTCTCTCTCCTCCTGATCTTCCTCCTCCTCCTGCAGCGTGTTCCGGAAGGCTCCCGCCAGAACATGCTGTGCACAAGTGATGTCACTGCTCCCGCCACAGTGCCCTGGGTGGTGGGTCAGAGGCCTCATGGGTGTTGGTTTGGATCTCGTGGTTGGCCTGTCGGGGACGTCGTGAAGGCAGTTTCGCAGCTTCTCGGTAGCCGTTTGGGGACCGTTGTGGGGCCTCCTCGGGGCTGTTTTGTGGCATCTTTAGGCCTCGTTTGGGCCTCCTGGGTGCCTCTAGGGGGCCTCCTTGGGGCCTCCTGGGGCACTCTTCAAGTGGGAGAGTCGAATTTTGGAGTCGTGGTCCCCCTCTTGGGCGCATCTTGGGGCCGTCTTGGGGCTCTGTTAGGCTGTATTGGGCGACTCTGGGGCCGTCTTGGGGCGCTCTTGGGGGCCTATTGAGCCGTCTTGGGACGTCGGACAGCCGAAAAGGCTGGAAGGCCAAAATCGTTCGAAAACATTCGTGACGTCGTGGAGTGCCTTGGGGGGCCTCTCGGGCCGTCTTGGGCCTATCTTGGGCGTCCTGGAGCGATCTTTCGGCGACTCGGGGCCTGCTTGGGCCGTCTTGGGAGCCTCTGGAGGCCCTCCTGGACTATTTTGGACCTCCCCGGCCGCCCCGTCCTCCCACGGGGGATCGGAGGCGGCTGCCTCCGAGGCCCAGGACGCAGAAACCATGTAAAAACACAAGGAAAATGAACCCCGGTACTCTCATGCCCCCTCGGGGCAGCCGCCCTGGGCGCCCGGGCGTCGTGCACGGGGATATATATATATATATATATATATATATATATACATACACACATACATAGATATGTGTATATATATATAGAGAGAGAGAGAGAGAGAGAGAGAGAGAAATGTGAAACATCAACGTTGTCGAGACACGTGCGTGGGCGACGGGCAATTGCAATGATGGGTGCATAAATCTTGATGTGCAGTGCCAAGGGCTGTGCTGTGCTGCGCCGTGCTGGATTGCGATGTGCCGTGCCACGATTGTGCTCTATCGCATTAAGGATCGAGTCCTCCCTTGGATCTGAGTCCTGACCGGACTGATCCAGATCGTAGGCACGAGCTGCCTGAGAACACAGTAGCTGCCCCAGAGCCAGTTGAAGTGAAAACGTGCGGGACGTTCAATCAAATCGACCTCAAAATCCAGCTCATCCCCGAATAAGATCGACCCACATATCCGGAAAGAGATTGAGAACTGCGAGGCATGGAACCGTTTCTAAGGACCTCAATTGCATATGCAATTGGGCGATGCCAGGGGGACATGCCAGGGGGACGCGCCGCGGAACGTCCCAAGGGACGCGCCAGGGGACGTGCCAGGGGACGTGCCATGGGGACGCACCGCGGGACGTGTCAAGGGGACGCGCTACAGAACGTGCCAATGGACGCGCCACGGGACGTGCCAGGGGATGCACCGCGCGACGTGCCCGGGGGACTCGCCCTGGGACGCGCCACGGAACGCGCCAGGGAACGTGCCAGGCGACGCGCCAGGGAACGCGCCAGGGAACGCGTCAGGGAACGTGCCACGGGACGTCCCTGACCCAGGGCCAGGATCCTTTGTAAATTACGCTGCGTCCGCCCTCCTGCTGCTCCTCCTCCTCCTCCTCCTCCTCCTCCTCCTCCTCCTCCTCCTCCTCCTCCTCTTCCTACTCCGCCTCTTCCTCCTCCTGCTCCTCCTCCTCCTCCTCCGCCTCCCTCCTCCTCCGCCTCCTCCTCCTCCCCTCCTCCTCCCTCCTCCTCCTCCTCCTCCTCCTCCTCCTCCTCCTCCTCCTCCTCCTCCTCCCCTCCTCCTCCTCGTTCTTCTCCTTTTCTTCCTCCTCCTCCTCCTCTTCCTCCTTCTTCTGCTCCTCCTCCTCCTCGTCCTCCTCCCTCCCCCTCTCCTCCTCCTCTCCTCCTCCTCCCTCCTCCTCCTTCCTCCTCCTCCTCCTCCTCCTTCCTCCTCCTCCACAATTACTCAATATGAATACTACTCTCCCTCTTCCCCTGATGGCGTCCAGGGATTATTCGACCCCCCCGCGTACTTTTTTTTACACACAGGATTCCCGGGAGTTGGGTGTTTGCGTGCGTTTTTGTTCAAAATGCTGCTCTCGCTGGGGCGCCGGCCTCATTTCTGCTCCCGAATCGTTCCGAATCGTGCTCCCGCTGCAGCGTGGGCCTGATTTTCGGATGGGTGGTTTGCCTCCGTCGTTCTGGATGGCGTTCTCGCCACAGCGCGGGCCTCTTTCTCGCGCGCCCATCCGCCCGCCACCACCGCGCCGCACCACGCCCCGCCCCGCCGCACGCACACCCACCGCCACTTCCACCCACCAACGCAGGCACGCACGCACGCGCACCACCACCGCGCAGCGCCACCACCGCCGCACTACCCCACCCACCACCACCACGCTACACCGCGTCACACCACATCACACGCGCGCACACACAGACACACACGCACGCACGCACGCACGCACGCACGCACGCACGCACGCACGCACGCACGCACGCACGCACGCACTCACGCACGCACGCACACACACACACACACACACACACACACACACACACACACACACACACACACGCACACACCACCACCACCGCCACCACCACCACCGCCATCACGCACGTACGCACCTGGCCCACCACCAAACCACCAAGACGCCACACCACGTCACACCACAGCACACGCGCACACACGCACACACACATACACACCACCACCACAACAACCACAACCACGCACACACGCACGCACGCACGCGCACCACCACCCACTACGCACACGCGCGCGGAGCCACAGGTCCGCTACGACACGCGTCCGCGGATAGAGAAAATCAGCGCCATGGTAAGGGATGGGAGGGAGGGGTAGGATGTCAGATGTTGACGCGAGCGCACCTAACTTGATCCTCCCCCCCCTCCTCCTCCGCCTCCTTCTCCTCCTCCTCCTCCTCCTCCTCCTCCTCCTCCTCCTCCTCCCCCTCTTCCGCCTCCTTCTCCTCCTCCGCCTCCGCCTCCGCCTCCGCGTCTGCCTCCGCCTCCTCCTCCTCCTCCTCCGCCTCTTCCGCCTCCTCTTCCTCCACCTCCTCCTCCTCCTCCTCCTCCTCCTCCTCCTCCTCCATTCCCTTTCGTTGTAATCACTTTTCCCTGTCGCACCCCGAGGCCAATTTTTAGGGCGGGCCGGGCGTTTCGCCTGAGACTTCTTCACAATTTCTGATTCTGAAGCTAAAAAAATGGCAGCAGCTTCCCAGATGGAGGGCGGTTGGTTGGCAAAATGTGGCTCTCGTCTTCGCGCCGCGCACAATCGTTCCTTGCATCACGAATCGCAAGAGCTTCACGGATTGTGGGCGGGTCGTTTTCAACTTGTGGCTCTCGCCTTAGCGCCGCGCATCGTTTTACAATTGCAGGAGATTCACGGATTGACGGCGGGGGGGGTTCAAAATGTGGCTCTCGCCTTGGCGCCGCGCACATTCGTTATTAAACTTAGCAAGAGCTTCGCGGATTGAGGGCGGGTGGTTTTCAAAATGTGACTCTAGCATTAGCGCCGCGCTTTTCCTTTTTTGCAAAAATTTGCAAGAGCTTCACCGATGGAGGGCGGGTGGTTTTCGAAGCATGGCTTCCGCCATCTTTTTAAACATGATCGGCCCACGAGCCCGGAAAGGAAATGTGAGATAGCACGTTTCAGGGTCGCTCACCTTGGGGACATTCGGCGGCGCGTTTCGAGACGGGGGGGAGGCCCCCCAAACACTTGGCGCCGTCGATCCGAACAAGGGAAACTCCTTTCCCCCTAACCCCCCCTCCCCGAACCACCCCCCTCGGCGCCGGCGCCGACGCAGGCGCTGGCGGCCGCCAGCAGCGCCGACGGTGGGGACGCAGCGACGATGACCAGAGGCAGCCCAGGAGGGGTCCAAACCCCCCCTCCCCCCCTTCCCGCGGCGGCGGGGACGCAGCGACGATTACCAGAGAGGGCTCAGAGGCAGCAGAGGGAACACATAAATCGCCATATCGAGCTCTCGCCCCCCAGAAGCCACCGAGAGGTCCTTAGGAAGGTCCACGAGGCTTCACACATGCTCCTTAGACGCCCGCGAGACCCTTCTGACGAGACCTCACAAGGCATCCGTTAAAAATTTGACCCAAAGCCAAAACACGCTGGCGGGAAGAGCCGAAGGCCACACCACCACCACCACCACAAACCACACCACCACCACCACAACCACCACCACACACGACCACCACAACCACCACCATCACCACAAACCACTACACAACCACCACGAAAAAACGCCAGCACCATCAGCACCACCACAACGCACCACAACCCACCACAACCACCACCACCGAGAACCACTACGCCATTACCAGCACCATCACAACCATCGCCACCACCACAATCATCACCACAACCCCCCACCACCACCACAAACCACCACACCACCACCACAACCACCACCACTACCACCACCACCAACCACCCACCACCACCACCACCAGCACCGCTACAAGCAGCACCACCACCACGACAAACCTCCACACCACCACCACCGCCACCACCAATACCACCACCACCACCTTCTCAACCCACAACCACCACCACCACCAAACCACCAAACCACCACCACAACCGCCACGACAAACCACCACACCACCACCACCACCACCACCACCACCTTAATCCACCACCACTCAAACTACCATCACCACAACCACCAGAAACCACCGCACCACCACCACCACCACCACCAAAACCTGCCACCACAACCACCACAACAACCACCACCGCCACCACGACCAACCACCACACCGCCACCACCACCACCGCCACCACCACCACCGCCACAACCACCACCACCACCACTACCACCACAGCCCACCACCACCACCACCACCGCAGAGAGGCCCCAAGAGACGCCCAAGAGGCGGCCAGGAGGCTTCACAAATGCCCTTCAAAGGCCCCCGAGAGCCCTCCGACGAGACCCCAAGAGGCATCCATCAGGACTATGACTCAAAACCAAGGCACGATGGCGGAGCGTCGTCGTCGTCATCGTCGTCGCCGTCGTCCTCGCCGACGCTCCCCGCCGCCGCCGGCAGCCGCCGCCGACGCAGGCGCTGGCCCGAGGACAGGGAGAAAAGAGAAGTAGGGGAAAAGGGAGGGGGGGGTTGAACCCCCCCCCTCCGTCACGCGAACCCCCCCCACCCTCTCCATCCAGGGTGCGGGGGGGGGGCGGTTTCAATCCCCACCCCCCCTTCCACGCGACCACAGAACGCGCCCTTTCGAAAATAGAAATGGAAGGCATGGCAACGTTTCAACGACACCTGATTGGGCGACGGACAAATCCAATGCTGAGTGTATCGATCTTGATGTACTGTGCCGAGGGTTGCGCTGTGCTACGCCGTGCTGAACTGAATTGCGCTCTAGAGCGTTGTGGATCGAGTCCTCCTTTGCATCCGAGTCCTGACCGAGCTGATCTGGATCTTAAGCTCGAGCTGCCTGAGCACATAGTAGCTTCTCACGATCTAATTGACAGGGGGACATGCCAAGAGGACGCGCCGCGGAACGTCCACCAGGCGACGTGCCAGGGGACGTGCCATGGGAACGCACCGCGGGACGTGCCAAAGGGACGCGCCACGGAACGTGCCAATGGAAGTGCCACGGGACGTGCCAGGGGACGCGCCGCGCGACGTGCCAGGGAGCCTCGCCACGGGACGCGCCACGGAACGTGTCAAGGAACGTGCCAAATTGCAATGCTGAGTGTATCGATCTTGATGTACCGTGCCGAGGGCTGTGCTGCGCTGCGCCGTGCTGAACTGCGATGTGCCATGCCGCGATTGTGCTCTATAGCGGTGTGGATCGAGTCCTCGTTCGCATCCGAGTCCTGACGGAACTGATCTGGATCTTAAGTTCGAGCTGCCTGGGCACATAGTAGCTGCCCCAAGGCTATATCGACAAGGGGGACATGCCAAGAGGACGCGCCGCGGAACGTCCCAAGGGACGCGCCAGGGGACGTGCCATTGGACGTGCCACGGGGACGCACCGCGGAACGTGCCAAAGGGACGCGCTACGGAACGTGCCAATGGACGTGCCTCGGGACGTGCCAGGGAGCGTGCCGCGCGACGTGCCAGGGGGACCCGCCACGGGACGCGCCACGGAACGTGCCAGGAAACGTGCGAGACATCCGCCTGGGCGACCTGGACGCGTGAAAACAACAGTCTCGCTCGAGACGTCCTCAGCAAACCCTCATGCTAGACATCTGCCTGGGCAACCTGGACGCGTGAATCCAAGCGTCTCGCTCGAGACATCCTCAAAACCTGGGCACGTGACAGCAAGTATTTGACTTGAGAGATCCTCTGAAGTCTGGTCCGCAGGAGAAGACAATCTATAACACAAAATCAGCGTTTCGCTCAAGAAATCCTCAACACATTCTGAACACAAAAAACTAGCGTTTCGCTCGAGATACCCTCGATCATAATTTCGCCAGCCCTACGCGACCTCGTCATTTGTGGCGCATATTTTCGCTGGCCCTACAGCCGTCGATCCCAGGGGTAAACCTCTAAAAGAGAACCCTAGGCTCAGGCCCTTCCCGGGAAAAAAACTGCCCCGAGAGGCCCCTCAGACGCCCCAGGAGGTGTCAGGTTCCCGCCGGGAGGCTCCCGAGAGACCTCCCGAGCGACCTCCGTAACCCTCCCAGAGAAGCGCCTTGCTCAAGACCTGGCTTGTTCCCCTGCCTGCCTCGAGGGGCCTTTTGTTTATCCTCCTCCTCCTCCTCCTTCTCCTCCTCGTCCTCCTTCTCCTCCTCCTCCTCCTCCTCTCGAGCACTCTTGACAGGCGCATCTGCACCGATCTCCTTAAGGAAAGTCCTGCCTGACCTGTCGTTCCTCCCGGGAACGAGCACACCACCACGCGCCAACGGTGGTGTGAAATGGGCCGGCGGAATGAGCGAAGCGATTAGATAAATCTGCGCCGTTTCGCGAATATGCCTGAACTGGGCGGCCTGGTCCTTGTCGCGCTCGAAAGAATAGTCCACCAAGCTCGTGTCGCTAAAATTCCCCCGAATCATGTTCATCAGAATACCTCGGTTTCTCCCTTCTGCATTTCGATATCCTTTGCCATGGAACATGAAAGTTATGTTCCGAACCTGAACCTCCTGAAGACTGGATGTGCTCCCCCGGGCCACAGCATCCAACTGGCGATGCGCAACATATGGTACCTGCAAGCATTTGACGAGCGGAGCACCAAACCAGAAGTCGTCTTCCAGGACCATAACGTGCCTCGAATCAAAGAAGGCGTCCCTTACCCACATGGGAGGTTTATTAAAGGATGGGTGGCTGATGGCGAACTTCTCCCGCCGCTGGAAAGCTGGAAGGAGCCGCATCTGCTCAAGGAGATATCCACCCCTACACGTTGCAGCGATGGGCGTGGACAAGGCCACTTCGTTTTCGAAACAGCACCGCCCTGTGCAGATCAAGCTGCCATGATCTTGACACGTCATCCACAGCATGAATTGCACACCACAGATTGCACTGCACCCCATAGGCTGCACTGCATGTAAGGTTGGACCTGTGACAAAATCATCCTTCAAGAACCTGCGACCCTCCGCTGACCAAACACTCCAAACCATAAGATCACTCGAGGGTGCCCTCCCCCAGGATACACAAGAACACACAATAAACACACAGAACATCAGGGCACCCTCCCCGAACCGACCTCGATCTTATACCCCGATCGGACCGCACTTCACCTCCTAGACGGTCCCCCCGCAGATTTATTTCACCGAGTCGCCTCTTGGTGCCCATGCAGGTGTCATCTAGATAGTTCGGGTCGAGCGAAAGGGGGGGATAGCAAAGGGGGGTTTGAGAATCAGCTCACGTAGCTGATTTTCCCGGCGCCTCCCGGCGCCGGAGGCGGCTATGTATCGAGGAATGGGCCCCTCGGTGAGGCCGAAACCAGCTGCATGCAGCAAATTTCGTAACCCCCCCTTTCCCAATCCCCCCCTTTCGCCCGGCCCGAAAAGTGTCCATGGCGCGGGCTTTCGGTTACCGAGAAGGCCCCAGGACGGCCACGGGGACGTCGTGGACGGCCCCGGCGGATGCCCCCCGACGCATCCCGCGGACAGCCCCACGTCGAGCCCAGACCCAAGCCGCCCCAAGACCACGCCAAGACAGCCACGTATTGCCCCCAGATGGCATCAGAGCACCCCAAGATGCCTGCCATAATTACCAACTGCCCCCCCACAAGTCTACTATTTCCTCGTCCTGCGCCCTCCCCAGAACCGCGCGGGCGGAAAGGCGCGGCAGCGCAGCTTGACTGGAGACTGTGGTTACCTGACCCCGAGCGATTCTTGCACTGCTTAATTTTCTGATCGGGCGCAGTTTGAAACAGGAATACAACATGTAAATGAGCTGATTCCACGTCGAACGTTCTCTGCGGATGCTCTCGAAAACGCGACAACAAATCCCACTCGTGAAAATGCTCTGCCATACCGACGCCCACCTTCTCGTCCACGTCGATCATGGTCTCATGAACGCCGAGCAGTTCATGCAGCCAACAGCGCATCAGCTCCGCCCTGGGAGCCATGAGTTCCTCGTGGATGAAAAAAACGCATCCTCTCAGGCTGCTCGCGCAACTCATCTGCGGTCCACCGCTTGCTGTCGAGCACCTCCGGGCCGTCTGGCCCGCGCGCGAGGCCGCCCGCTGCAACCCCGCCGCCGCCCGCCGGGACCGGCCCGGCGACTTCCGCCCCGGGCTGCTGGCCCGCCTCCTCCTTCGACCTGGTGGCTTCGGGCGCCTTCGGGCCGCCGGCTTCGGGCGCGCGGCCGCCCGCTGCACCCCCGCCGCCGCCCGCCGGGACCTGCGCGGCGACTTCCGTTCCAGCCTGACGTTGCAGTGCATCTCCAGTCGGTTGTCTCCCGTCGGTGGTGGCCTCTGGGCCGCGGCTTTCGGGCGCGCGGTCGGTCCCTGCTGTGCCATAAGCACCCAGGGAGGGCAGCACATATCGCACCGAATCTCGACTGCTCAACCTGGGAACGCTGGCCAGCATGCAACCACACAAGATGACAGCCGCTATGCAGACTGCGTTGCGCCTCATAGCGGAGTAGACGAACAATCTCAGAAACGTCTTGAGCCGACATGCGCGACCTACAAACCCAGCAAGGAAATTGGAAATGTGAGGGAATGGTTACATGTTCGAAGCACCCGATTGGGCAACATGCAATTGCAATGCCGAAAATATCGATCGTGATGTACGGTGCCCAGGACTGTGTTGTGCTGTGCTGTGCTGAAACAGAATTGGTCATGCCGCGATCAATTGCGTTGTGCTCTATAGCGTTTCGAACTAGGTCGCCCTTGGCATCCGAATCCAGACCGCACTGATCTGGATCTTAAGCTCGAGCTGCCTCAACGCATCGATGGCCCAGATCTCCCTCCTCCCTCCTCTCCCTCCTCTCCCTCCTCCCTCCTCCCTCCCTCCTCCCTCCACCCTCCTCCCCCATCCCTCCCCCCTCATCCCTCCTCCCTCCTGCCTCGCTCCCTCATCCCCCCTCCCTCCTCCCTCCTCGCTGCTCGCCCCTCGCCCCTCGCTCCGCGCTTCCCCCCTCCCCCCTATCTCGCTCCTCTGAGGCGAGCCGCCGTCCCGGCCTAGGGGCCCCGGGTGCAGCAACCCCCGTAGCTGCGCGCCCCTCGGGACGTCGGCAGCACACAGGCCCGCAGCCGCAGCCACTGGCCGCGGGCTTGCCGTGTTCTTACCAGCCTGGAACACATCCCTATCCCTATGCGGGGCATCTCCTCATCACGATGCCAATTTTAGGGGTTCTCTTCTTTTTCGAGGGCGCATCCCTAAGACTGCCATCGCTTTTTGGCGTGTCAATCTCAGGGATAGGGACATGTTCGAGGCTGGTAATGCTCTGCATCGGCGCAGCGCTCCAGGCAGCGCTTCCCTGGCGCTGCCCAGCGCCCCGCGGCGCCCGCGAGGGCCACCCACCCTCGCCGCGGCGCGCCCGGCGGCGCCCGGCGGCGCCCGGCGGCGCGATTCGGGCCCAACTTGAACGCATCCCTATCCCTAAGATTGACACGCCGAAATGCGATGACAGTCTTAGGGATGCGCCCTCAAGAAATAAGGGAATCCCTAAGATTGGCATCGTGAGGAGGAGATGCCCAGCATAGGGATAGGGATATGTTCCAGGCTGGTAACCAACGACCGCCCGAACCCGCCTGGCACTGGAGAGCCAGGGCGGCTCGAAGCCAGGCCAAGGCCTTGCTGCGAGTCCAGGCCGCCCAGGCGCTCTTGCAGCAGCATCAAAGCAGCAACAGCATGCCCAGCGACACGGATCCACCATGGCGTTCACCGGGCCCTGACACATGGGAGAGAGCGTGATCCACCGTCGCTTTACTGTGGAAAATTGCCGCCCTTTTCCTCCGGAACCCGGGGGTCCCCCCCTCCCCCCTCCGAAAATCCCTCCCCCCCTGCTGGAACCCCTCCCCCCCCCCCTTCCCCCGGCAAAACCCCCCCCCTCCCCTAACCCCCCCCCCTCCTCGAACTCGAACTCGAAAATGGGGGGGGGGTCACTACCGGTTCGAACACCCCCCCCCTCGAAAACCGGAGGGGGGGGTCACTACCGGTTCGAACCACTGAGCTGTCCCACTGTTCCCACCACTGTCCCCCCTGTCCCTACCACTGTCCCCACTGTACCTCTGTCCCATTGTCCCACCGCCGTCCTCGCCACCGCCTTCACCACTGTCCCCACCACGTACCCTCCACGTGCCTACTGTTTCCACCACATTCCCACTGTCCCCACACCACTGTCCCCACCACCACCGTCCCCACCACTGTCCCGCTGTCCCCACTGTCCCCACCATTGTCCTCACCATTGTCCCCACCACTACCGTCCCCACCACTGTCCCACTGTCCCCACCACTGTCCCGCTGTCCCCTCACCACTGTCCCCACCACCACCGTCCCCAACACTGTCCGCACCCCCCCTCGGTTTTCGAGCCGGTAGTGACCCCCTCCGGTTTTCGAGCTCGAGGGGGGGGGGGCTCGAACCGGTAGTGACCCCCTCCCCCCTTTTCATGATGAACTGGGGGGGGGGGGGGAGGGGTTCGAACCGGTAATGACCCCCACCCGGTTTTCCGGAGGGGGAGGGGGAGGGGGGGGGGGGCGGTAGTGACCCCCCCCGGTTTTCCGCCAGCAGCGGTCGAACACGCTCTTTCACACATGGCGACGCGGGGCATGCAACACCGTCAACTGGCAGTCCTCGCGCTGGTGTGTACAATGCTATCCAGCCCCGCAGCGCACCCATGGCAGATCACGAGGGAGGTCCAGACCCAGACCGACTGCAGGAAGTCGGGGACAATCGACGCCAGCACCTGCCACGGGCACAGGATCACGCGCTTCGTCGGAGCAGCCAGCACCTGCTCAGAGTCAGTCTTCGTCTCCAGTTTCTAGTGCGCACGGGCTGATACCAGCCGCCCCCGAAGACGCCCGCAAGCATTCATGCTGGGTAGACCCACCGTGCGGGACCAAGGAGCTGTCAGCTTACAGGTCCCAGATCAAGTCGACATTGTCAGCCCTCGAGGCCCAGCTGTCCAGCACGAAGGCTCTTGCAGCCTCAGCAGAAATGTTACGTCCCATCGAGACTGAGTACAGTGTCTACCTGCACATGCACGTCCACGCCTACGCGCCGCGCGACCGCGTGGCCAACCAGGAGAAGTACATGGAGCGGGTCCAGAAGCGCGCCTCACGGAGGCCACGACAGCCGAGGAGGCCAGGATTACGCTGGCTCGCGCGGCCACCACTCGAGCCGCCCTGCAACGCGACGCGGAGCAGGTTCTTCTCCTACTCGGTCATGTCAAGCAGATGCAATTCGAGGAGGAGCAACAAGCCGAAGTGGCAGCAGCTGCAGCAGCATCGGCGGCCCAGCGAGCAGCATCAGGACCACCCTGAGCACCTGGCACGCCGCGCAGCGTTCGGTTCACTAGCCCCACGCAGCGGCCAGATGCGATGCAGATCGAGCCAGGCCCAGCATCAGCTTCTACGCCTGGCAGCGGCAGCGGTATGACAGCTACCAGTTCTGCTCCGGCCATGCCTCAGGCCATTGCCGAACTTCGGACGGGGCAAATACAATTGACAGCACAGGTGGCCCAGTTGACGCAGGCGTTGCCGACCATTCAGGTTTCATTGGCTTCTATTTCGGCGGTCACATCAGCTACAGCATCAGCATCTGGATCTTCTCAGAAGGCTTCTCCAGCTTCAGCTCGAGCAGCGGCGGAGGCAGCCCACCGCGTACCAGCCTCGCAGCAACGGGCTGCCCAGGCAGCTCGAGCGGGATCGCTCAGCCCAGATCACCTGCCAGACCTGTCGGACACGGAGCTCAAAGCGTGCCGAGCCTTGTCGGGACAGCAGCGCAGCTCCCCACCAGCCTGGCAAGCGGCAGCAGGATCCATGCCTGGCCAGGTCAAGTCGTTCGGTTCGTTCAAACAGCAGCAGAAGGGCACGACGAGACCATCACCAGAGGAGCCCGCGGAGGGGGACCAGCCCCCGCAGAAGTTCAACATGGTCGACGCAGCCGAGGAGACCAGTGCAGCAGGATCCAATCGAGAGGCGGGGTCTACTTCGCCGACGGTGAGTCCGCACGAGGACCACAGGGACGGGAACCATACCCCCACGCAGCCGTCGGCTCCTGGTACTCCAAGTATGGACGAGGCGGCCCCCATGAGGGGCTGCAGGCGGAGTCCGCTCACGCCCGCCCAGAGCTTCACGGATAACTTGTTTCGATCCTGGGGCACTCCTCTGTGTCAAGATACCCTTAGCATTGCTACGTTCTTGCATTCCTCCACTGTTCAGGCCTTATCGTCACTAACTTCCGCTCAGGCACTGGATGCATTACAGAGCATGACAGTATATGTTGATGGATCGGGCGGTAGTCGACTGGGGGCCTAATACCATGTCAGCCACTTCCTCGTGCCAAAGGGCTTCCTTCTTGGGTTGTCGTTGTCTTGGGTACGGACGTCTCGGGCAATTGCGCCTTAATCGCTTCTTTTCCGCTAACACCTTAACGGTTGATGCCTTGGATCTCTGCAGCCCAGAACAGTTCTCCTTTATGGGTGAAGTATTCGCGGCCCAATGAGCCCTGGTTTGGATTGACAGTTAGGCAAAGAGGACCTGCAGCCCTTGGAGGTTCACATCACAGGCGACAACATGGAAGTCTTGGCATGTCTGGCTGGCGGCTCGGCTCCATCTTACCAAGCCCGACAGCGTAACTTGCTCGACGCCTTGTCCCGCATCGTGCGGTCCGCGCTCCCAGGGCCACGATCCCTTGTAAATTACACTGCGTCCGAGCCCCAAGGCCCCGATCCCTCGTATTTTACGATGCGCCCGCGCTCCAAGGGCTACGACCCATCGTAAATTGCATTGCGTCCGAGCTCCCAAGGCCCCGACCCCTTGTAAATTACGCTGCGCCCGCGCTCCGAAGGACACGATCCCTCGCAGAGTACGCGTGGTCCGTGCTCCAAACGCCACGATCCCTCCTAGATTACGCCGCGTCCGCGCTCCCAGGGCCTCCTGGGGCATGCTGGGGCGCCCAGGTCCCTCAAGTTTTGCAAAACAAGCGTTTCGCTCGAGACATCCTCGATTGTTTGGCGCGGGGGGCGCACCATCCTCGAGCGGGCACTCAACAACTCAACATATTCTCGCTTTCCGCGCATTTACATAATTCCCAACCCTCCTTGTGTTGGGTACTCGTTTTGAATAGAGCAGCACTGTGGTATCCACCTCCCGCCCTCTCCTCCTTCTTCTCTCCTGTGTTCGTGGTGCCCTGCGGGGCTGCGATCTGCGCAACTGTCGCCACTTCGTGGGTTCCTGGGAGGCCCAGCGGAGGTACGTCCTACGCAGACCACTTTGAGGCCTCCCTGTCCCCTGCGGGGCTGCGATCTGCGCAACTGTCGCTACTTTCGTGGTTCCTGGGAGGCCCAGGGGAGGTACATCCTACGCAGACCACTTTGAAGCCTCCCTGTCCCCTGAAAGGGGGCTGCGATCTGCGCAACTGTCGCCACTTTCGTGGGTTCCTGGAAGGCCCAGCGGAGGCACGTCTTACGCAAACCACTTTGACGCCTCCCTGTCCCCTTGGCGCACCTGGCGCGCACCTGGC